GGGGAAGGGGCTGGTCACTCAATCCAATGACTTCACTTTCATAATATACGGTAATAGCATTTAACAGTGACATGCATGCAAACCAGTCCTACCAATACCCAACACCAGCAGCAGAAAAAACAGGTCATTTGAGCCAAACTCGTCTCTCATTCTCTAACACCCAATGCAAGACTTCAACATACCTAAATCCTTTCGAACCGATCAACCCGGCTATGGAGCACACTATCATGCACAGGAACTAACAATAATGTAACCTTGAAACAACTCGGAATGACTTCTTCAATTACGCTAAGAATTGCAGCTCTACATATAAACAACTATGACATGGATGACTCAAAAACCTTTAAACCTATTTGTCTTGTAACAAGTGTTGTGTCTTGCCCTCTCCAGTGTTATTGTGTTGTTTCCAGTTTGTGTCCAGTCGGATGTGCATGATGGCAAAAGCTATAGCATGCTTAGTTGACTGGTATACCTAATTATACTAAATATTAATCTTTGCTACTTACAATCCCACTTCCAATTGCATCCTTGATAAATGGATATTCCCCAACACAGACACTCCTAGTCTCACGCGTGTTGAAGCGAATCTCACGCATTTCAGCGAATGTTGAATATGACAACATGGCTGACAGTACAGAAAGTGAAACCGAAGCAGAAAGTGAAACGAATGATGAAAACGAAGTTCAAACGAGTCTCCCAACGACTTCTAGGTCTTCTTGTCGAAAGTTTACTGGAGCTGCAAGATATAAATCGACTTTTCAGAACGAATGGACCGTCAAGTATAAAACATTTCTTTGTCAAGTCCACGGTAATATACATGCCTTTTATTGTAATGTTTGCAAGAAAGAAGTGAGTGTGAAACATCAGGGAGAGAGAGATGTAATTAGGCACAAGGATGGGGAAGACCATAAAAGGTGGGAGAGGAGCTTAAGAAATCAACCTATATTAAATTTAGCTACCAGTAGCACAAACACTTTGCTGTTTAATACATCAAAGGCAGAAGTTTTGGCAGCTAAGTTTATTGTAGAACATAACTTACCCATCAGTGTGTCTGACCACTTGGGTCCACTATTCAGGCAGATGTTTCCTGATAGTACTATTGCAAAGAATTATGCTTCAGCTCACACAAAGACAAATTGTAGAATTAATGATGCCATAGCTCCACCAATGCAGCAAGAACTGGTATCACAGATGAAGAATGGGCCATTTTCTTTGGCAATTGATGGATCCAGTGACAATGATTTGGAGAAGATGAATCCACTTACTGTATGTATATTTGACATTAACACTCACAAAGTAGAAGGTCGATTTCTGGATATGTGTTCAGCAACTGCATCCACTGCTCAAGCCATTTATGACAAGATGAATGAAGTTCTAAATAAACATGATATACCTTGGGATTACTGTGTTGGAATGTCTGTAGACAATACATCTGTGAACGTTGGAAGGCACAACTCCATAAAAACAAGGGTAGAGGATGCTAATGATACAGTGTATTTCATGGGTTGCCCTTGTCATATTTTACACAACACAGCTTTTTATGGAGGTAAGGCTTTTGAAGAGATAGTGAACTTCTCTGCTGATGATTTGTGTGTTGACATTTTATACTGGTTTGAACACTCTTCTAAGAGAAAGAACCTTCTAATCGGACTTGAAAATGAAAATTGACAAAAAATATTATTGAGACTTGAGTCTATTATTATATACCTTTAAAGGCTGTTGACCTGGGTTGTTAAAACCTGTGATGCCATGCAGCTTGTGGCACAGCAATTTTACACATTGGAAGATTACTGCATGAATAAAATCACTTGGAACTTAGCGTGTACTGTAGATCAGACATGAACAATTGCCGTGGTAAACCATTAGATCCACAGGTTCATGATTTGTGAAATACGTCTATGTAATAAATAAGTAATCTAATATGTCTATTTAATATATTTTTTAGCGAAAAAAATGCATGGTTTGAAATGGTTTTATTTCAAACACGTCATTTATATGTTTATAGATAAAGATTTAGTCAAAAATATTTCAAAACGTTTTATCAACGCAGCGTAAGTAGTCTTATAGTTTGTACCAAATTCAAGGTCATATGGACAACAAACGTTTTGGAAGTTAAATATTTTGTCATCGAAACTGGCAATTCTTTATTATTTTCGCATTGATTTTTTAAAAATTACTGCGTCCACCAATGCTTCATCCGAAACTATAGTTGTTGCATGTTTGTATGTCTTATTTATTATATGGCTCAGGTCTGAAATATATAGAATGAATTCAAGCTAATGCTAAAACTACTGGCGGTGTTAGCGTGGGTGTTTGCATACTTTTTTCCACTCTTCAATGCATGTACTAAATCTGTATTGATATTTGAGTATTTTCTGATAAAAAACTGTTTTATTCACCTTTTCATTGGATGGAAAGGCATTCTTTATAGCCAGAATTTGGCCACCTTTATGCCCCAAGCTTCTGAGCAAATCCGACGTTGAACTGCGCAAACATTTTTCATCAAGTAACTACATAGGAGTCAGATAGTATGATTAAAAAACAGCTTTTTTGGCTATCAACATACTCAAAGCCAATAACTTTTGTATTGTTTTAACATTTACCTCTTCGTCCCTTAATAAGCTGACAGTTTCCTGTCTAACCCCTGATTCTTCTAGTGCTTTTTCTACCGCCTGTTGAAAAAAAAAACAAGTATCAAATAGTTCATAGTGACAGAAAAAACAAACTATAATCTTGCGAACTCCAAAGTCAAAGAGGACAGTTCAAGACACAGAATGTCTGTGAAAAACTGGTATATACAAGTGAAAAAAGTGCTTTTAAATAAAGGAAATATATTACAAATAGGTTTATCTTGGTTAATTTATCTTCTAGAAGTAATAAAAACGTAGAAAAATAAGAAATTATGCTACTTTACCTCGCCGTCCATTGTCAACACCAACAGACCGGGAAAGAAAGCCAAAAGAAGCGGGAAAGAAAGCCAAAAGAAGCGGGGAAAATCTACCCCTGTTGGTAAATGAGGGGTGGCCCAGAACCGACATACCAGCTTTGTGGCCTGGGGCTGCCAGTACAGTAGTTATCAGTGCTCAGAAACAAAATTAGTTTTATTGAAAAAAAAATATTTAAAGAATAAAAATTGGCCTGATCTATTTATTTTGGCCTTTTTTGAAGGTCGGCGCTATATCATAATTATGCGTTATAACGTTATAACGCAAAAAGAACGCAAGACCCTGGGAACGAGGTGGTTCCCGACCTTCCAAGGTCAAAGGCTGAATAATTACGTTTGTCTCGTCTGGAATACAGCGTTGCCACTCGTAGTGAAATTTCACTATTTGTAGTGAAATCAGTCCGAGCGTAGTGATGTAGTGAAGGAAATTTGAAATTGCTGAAATGTAGTGAAATGCTGATGAAAATTTTAAATAAACCTTGCTGAAAAGTTTAAGGAAAATATTAACTTGGCAGACAAACAAACAATTAATTTTTACATATTAGACATCTTCCCGTACTCATAAAGAAAAAATGAAAAACAATAGCACCTGTTCCCCCCGTGCCACAGACAAATTAGCACGAGTTACTGGGGGCCCAGACATTAGTATCCAGTTTCACGTCAGCACAAGGCCACTGAGCTACATTATCCCCGAGCCGACGGCGCGAAGCGCCGTGCGAGGGTACTAATTCCCCCCGGCTATTTACACCCGGGGAAACAAAAGCATTAGAGAAGTCTAAAGTTCATCAAATATCGTGGGCGTGGCTCACCAACGATGTTTCGGTGGGTGGTCATCCTCACTGATCTCAAAATATGTGGCGGACTGTCATGAATAGCGAAAACTGATTGGTCCAATTTAAAGTTTGCATTATAACGACTGCATGAAGACAGCGAAATAGCAAACATTTCTTGATTTGATGATTGATAAATTTCTTGCAAATATCACAAATATATTTCATTTTCGCTCGCATTTTTGCAAGAATTTGTAAATTTCAAGAAAGAAAGGGTGAAAGAATCGGCTAAAAGAAGTGAGCCGACGTTAACGAAGGTAAGTTTGTTTTAAATATTGATTTTATAATGGATTTAATTTAAAACCCGAGGTTATTTCATATTATTTCAGTGTATCTTTAGTAATATTGATTCCCTTTTTTATGATATTGAATTTTTTAAATAAAAAAGAAAGCAGAGTTATTTGAAAGCGAGAATTTGAAGTCATTTTATTGCAAACTCAAAGTTTATCAATAAAGCCATTTTAAAAGGCAGTTTAGTTTTATAAAGAACACTAGTGACTTTAAAACGTTTTGCAAAGCGTTTGTGGTTGAATTTTACCTTAAATTGAGGCTTATATTACGTATAATAACATACCTAACATATATATGTTGGGAAATTAATAATTTTGTAATTAAAAGTGATATTTTTAGGCGATTTTTCATTTGTAAGGATATTCTTAAAAAATTATCGTGTTACCATGACAACTACTTCAGATACTTCATGTTCGGAAAATACAATGATTTTGTCTGTTTGTCAGCAAGGCGAGGGTTTCTGCATGCATGTATTTTCTAGTTTTAGTTAATTTATTCAACTCTGAATTTGCAAATATGGCGTCGACAACTAACAACATTGATGCGGACGAATATTCTGAAGACCAGCAGCACGTGGAACCGGGGCAAGGGTCATCGAATTTGAAGAAGGCAAAAACTTGGAGAATGCAGAATTTTTCCGATTCGTGGCCAGGTCAAAAACAAAATTGTAAAATTGTTTATTTTTTGTTTGTCTGTCACATCTGTTGCTCTGTTAATAAAAAGACACTCTTACTGGTTTGTTACCATTTAGCGATCGATATCAGGTCAATATCTAACAAAAACCTGCCATGTAGTCACATGTAGTGAAATGTGCAGCAAAATAGAACAGCTGGGAAATTTGTTGCGCATGCGCCAGATTTCCATTGAAACTTGAAGATTTCCCCGAAGAAATATTACGAGATGTTCGTGGTTGTTGTATATTTTTTAATGCCTGTTTAATCTTTATACTTTTTTTGCTTGAGACAAAGACAAAGTAAAATGTACTCTACGTTTCCAGTGTATAGAATATCTCGTTTGAACAGCAATAGAATATTATAATCTTGACACAAACAAGAAGACATTTGACACGCTTTTTTAAAATCTGTAGTCATGCCTGACCGAGGTATAAAAGCCAATCGTCGCGATCTTGACAGCCTTGTCAAATGCAAAACAAGTACAAATTTGGATTCAAACAGAAAGAAGTTCAATGTTCATACAACTAACATATATTCTATACAAATACGGGTGGTTTAAAATGTTTTCAATTGAATTTTCAAAGCTTTTATCGCTATGATAATCAAACTGTGAACTTGATGCCGCAGTTTTGTTAACGCTTGCGAATGCAAAATAACTTCCCGTAAACAGAGCATTTCTACACAAAACTCTCGCTTAGTCTTCTGATGCACTTGTACGTTCGGTTCTACTAGTTAAACAAGGAAAATATTCAAGAAACACTGGTAAATTATCGTTGTCAAAAAAACATTTCAGTGCTGAGGCAGTACCACTGATCTAGCAGTACAAGGTCTCAAGGGCAAGGTCAAGTTGTCGATTTCATTACACTTACAGTACTTCGGAATGTTTTCGAACTCTTGCTTCATACAAGAGCAGTAAACGCACGCATTTCAAAGCGAAATTAGACCCAAAGGGGCAATTTTTCAATAAAATTCATTGTTAAATTATATTTCCTATGTGCCTTGGGAGCAAAAAAATATGATTTTAAATTTGGAGGAATCGGTAAATTTTTTTGCAATTTGGCCTGGTATTGCACCCTACCTATGTAATGACTGTGCTGTAAAAGTAATCACATATACTATTTTGAATTTCCCTTCATTGAAAGGATCTACTATTGTGGACTAAACTAAATGTTAATCAGCATACAAGACTGCAAACAACAGCCAAGAATTAGCTGGGTAGTTTGCAAACTTTAAAAATAATTGGACCTCAAACTTTGATCCCCAAAAGTAAACAAATGGCCAAGTTTTGACCACTAGGGGCAACTTTTAGATGTAAAAAAAACTTGTTTAAATTACATATCAAACAAAGGCAAAACAAAATTTTGTATTAATTTTTTGGAGGAAACGTCAAGGTTTTTTGCTATCCGCGCACGCTTCTACACCCCCTCCCCCAGGACCTTCTCTATCAGAAAACAGTTTTCTACAGAAACTATGCTTTTTTATCGGGAAAATTTTTTTACTTTTCTCAAAAAAAATACTTTAGAAACACGGAAACCTTGAATATTTTTCATACCTTTTTGGGATTGCAAATAGCAAAATTTGATTCATTATCACACTTTTTAAAATATATGTGACAAAGTTGCTTCGAAATCACTATCACGCAGTAGCATGTTTATTTACCCACATCCTTTTGACTGAATAAAGTTTATCTTTTTGAAAAGCTATTTGTTTTATAGCTCTTGGTTAGCAGTTTGCGTTTATGTCGATTTTGGCACCCATGAGGCCAACAAGTTATGGTAATCCGCGAATGAAAACTGATATTCGAAAAGCACAAAAGCCAACTCCTAGCTATGTAACTTTATCGCCTGAATTTTGAATCAATCCACAATTAAATTTCTGGTAATGTTGATGCTTTCCATACCTGAGATGTTAGTGAAGTTTTTCCAACAA